CTTCATAGAATAAAGTAGTGCAGCCTCTACTCATATAGCCCAGGGGCCACTGACCATGCTAATGTGCCTCAACTCATATAACCCAGGGGCCACTGACCATGCTAATGTGCCTCAACTCATATAACCCAGGGGCCACTGACCATGCTAATGTGCCTCAACTCATATAGCCCAGGGGCCACTGACCATGCTAATGTGCCTCTACTCATATAGCCCAGGGGCCACTGACCATGCTAATGTGCCTCAACTCATATAACCCAGGGCCTCTGGTCATGTTAATGTACCTCTGACTCATGTAACCCAGAGGTCTCTGACCATGTTAATGTGCCTCTACTCATATAGCCCAGTGGCCTCTAATCATGTTATTGTGTCTCTACTCATTTAACCCAGGGGCCTCTGACCATGTTAATGTGCCTCATGTAGCCCAGGGGCCTCTGACCATGTTAATGTACCTCTGACTCATGTAACCCAGAGGCATCTGACCATGTTAATGTGCCTCTACTCATGTAACCCAGAGGCATCTGACCATGTTAATGTGCCTCTACTCATGTAGCCCAGGGGTCACAGACCATGCTAATGTGCCTCTACTCATATAGCCCAGGGGCCACTGACCATGCTAATGTGCCTCTACTCATGTAGCCCAGGGGCCACTGACCATGCTAATGTGCCTCAACTCATATAACCAAGGGCCTCTGGTCATGTTAATGTACCTCTGACTCATGTAACCCAGAGGTCTCTGACCATGTTAATGAGCCTCTACTCATATATCCCAGTGGCCTCTAATCATGTTATTGTGTCTCTACTCATTTAACCCAGAGGTCTCCAACCATGTTAATGAGCCTCTACTCATATAGCCCAGGGGCCTCCGACCATCACCTCCAGTTCACAGTTTTTCATCCTAGACAGTCTCTTCCAATTAATTGGCCCTTCATTTTTAAAAATGATTTTGTTCTTCCACTTATCACCATACTTTGATTTCCTTCTGACATCGACTTCCTTCTTTCACTGAAATCCGTAGGAAGTGTGGTGTCTATGTGAGAATCATCTCTTTGTATGTTCCTTCTCTAATCAGGTCTCCTTCCATTTCTTACTTTCAGCGTCACGGCTGCATGTTGGAGGGTTTGCAGGAAGTTTTGCATTAAAATGTTTCAGTTTAGCGGATGGTGGTTTCACAAAGGGAGTATGGTATAGTAATTTCGGCAGTATCCTAGCTGGTGGCTCAAGTATGATGTCATATTGAGGGACAGAAAGCTGATCCATCTCCATTCACAAGTTTGTGAAGTAGAAAGTCAGTGTTATTCTTGGAAAGATGGCGGAAAGCTGGGTTTCGCAAACCTTTATTCTCTATGGGGTCTGTTCTCCCATCAGGTGCAAAAGTCAAAAAAGCCCGGTCACGCTCACCGTGTTAAAGAAGAAAAAGGTGGTGTGACCGTTGAAAAAGTATAATTAATTCATCAAACAAGAAAAGGGGGTTTACACTTTCAGTGATTTCTGCAACGAGCAGCACGTGGAACTCAGACTCTTTCATTTACAATGTGAACCTAATTGAAATCCACAGAAACCCTTTTATTCTGAAAGCGAAAGCATGCTGGCAGCCTGCTATGTCTGTATCTGTTCATTCACACAAACATGAGGTTCAGCCTTTTTTTTTCTCTTCAATAACAATAATTCTGTAAACAACCAAATATGCCAAAAGACGGTGTAAATGTTAGTATCATTAGCCGCACGGACTGAAAGTTTTGGATGCATTGCTGATTAAATAATAATGAAATTTACTGCATAGTCAATACAAGTTTATATGCTAGATCATTTGCTGAAGAACAGTTTTCAGTTAGGCAAGTATCCTGGTCACCCCTGACGTAGTATCCCATATTGGTTCAAAATGGAGTCGGCACAAAAAGATCAGCCTTTTACGATGTACCTGGAGATATGCTTTGCATTTGAAGACGAGAGCCTATTATTCTTGGCCGTCTCCGTCTTTCTAACTGTCGGAGGTACACAGGTACATGTATTTCAGCTTAAAACTGTGAGGGCACACTGCTTCCTTTGAAACTATTTCTATTTTTTGCTCATTTTAATTGAAATAACTATTTTTTAACCGAAAAGTGTCTTGGCCTAATTGATTAACATACGAGGCATATTGACATGGCAGTTATTACTTGAATCTAGCCTTGTGATTATATTGGTATATACTGATATATTTCTATAGACTATTGTGTAATTATATGAATACACTTAAAGGAAAAAAGCACGCAGTTATTTTTTTTTATTATTATTTTTTGACTGACACGCATGGGAGAATCGACCCCTACATCTGTAGCTGCATTTAGGGACCCAGATCAAAGTCTGAGGTATGAATGGGACAGGATATGCTTTGAGTAAGTTGTACTTTTCTGTATTTCATACTGTGTGCATTTATTGGGTATTGGAAAAGACGCATTACAGGGTGGAGAATTAGTGTCCTGAGGTTGGTTTGTCCATCATCTTATAATGGATGTCTTTGGTCACCTTAAGCTCCCGGGGACCTGAGCTGCAGCTCAGTCCTGCGTTGCAGGTCTAGCTGCTCTCATGTTGCTTAAATGTACTGCATTTAACTTTTGTACCACTTAATGTAGAACTATGAATAAGCAGAACCGTAATCATGCAGATTCTCGTGCACAACATACTAATTTATTGCATATTAATATTTAGTAATAATAATAATAATAGTTGCAGTCGTTTAATCGCTAAGTTGTAAAATGTGAGTGGGTGGCTGAGCCAGGGTCTCGGATATCGGAGCAGACAGACACCTTAGCGAGGCAGGAACAGCAGCAGGTGGGCTACAGGCAGGCTGAGCTGCCGGCCAGTCAGCGAGCGACTGCCGCTTCATGTCTTTGGTGATTCATGAGTAACACCTATGAGACCAGCAACTGGGAGGCATGATACGATGTTTTAACTTTTAAATAAATCAAAAGCAGACAACTTGGTACTCCTATGTGAGTTACTTTCTAAACCCTGTGGAAACCATCTAATTTAGTTTGTATACAGTAAATTGAGAACTTGGAGGAACACCTGAAAACATGAACTAATGACTAATCCTGGGCCTGAACACCGTGGGTGACTGTAGTTTCGATCTAACATCACGTAGAAGCTCCTGCTCGCCATCCTGCTCCTTCTAACCCGGGAAGCTGGTGACCCTGTCCTTTCTGCTGGTGTGCTGTGTTATAGGTTCAGATAGTAACCAAAAAACTGGACTTCAGCCACATCACGTCACGCTGTGGCTCCAAGGACAATATCAAGCATGTGCCAGGTGGAGGGAACGTAAGTACATGGCTGCCATGACAGAGATGCCATTTGCCCCCCCCCCCCCCAAAAAAAAAAGACAGCTAACCCCAACAACTCAAGTAATAAGAATCTCACTCAGTGTCCCTCAAACAGCAGAGACCAAATTCACATGACAAATGGAGACTCTTCTAGACTGATGTTTCAGTGTCATAACAGGAATTACATTTTCTGAGTAATGAGATCCTATAAGACCATCCAGGGTAACTGCTGTCTGTCATGGTTTTGGCCGCATCCAGTGTGAGTCAGTTTGAGTCTGTATAATAGTGTGTTATCTCACTCCTCACTCCTGGGTGCCATTTAACCTTCTTAGCTTATAGCTCCTAACACTCTCTGTCCTTTGAATATTTGCTCAGGGTGACACTGCATTGCTTTTGACCGACTTGTGGCACATTTGGGAATTTCGAATAATGAAGCTATTTTTAACAACACTGGCTGAGCTGTTACCCACTTTTCAAAACCCTTGTGTCAGGATTCTCACTGAGTGTCAGGGCTGTAACGGTACACATATTCATCATGTGTCATTTGATTGCATCATTTTCGGTTCGGAGCACACAGTGACGCAACTGAATACATTTCTTGGCACCTAAACTCAAGTAGATGTTCAGCATGGAAAACATTATCCACTTGCGGGTGTTGGTTGGTTATGACTAGTGTTAGTTACAGTCAGTTCTTAGCTCGAAGATCCTTCCACATAACTTAAATCAGTAGTTTGGGAACATTTCGGTTTTCTAAAAAAGTACACCAGTGCTAGAGAGAGGGTAGATAAGACCAAGACTTTTTGTCTGTTGGCTCTGTTATACCAAACTCGGATATGTTGCTGAAATCACTTCCAGCATGGCAGCTTATTTAAGGTGACATCATCGGGGTGTGTATATGACCAGAGCAAGACAGAAACAGCTTGACAAGTTACTCTTCCTGTGACATTTTTATAAGTGCCAGGAAATTCACACTGGGATAAACAAATAAATAAGACTGTATGTTTATCGCTACTGGTATGCAACCATACTTGACAGTAGAGAATGCAGGATTTATTTCATCATTATTGTTATGATGCAGTCTTGCTTTTGGATAATTATTTTACATATTTATGTGAAAATAAATGTCTCAGGTTTAGTTTTTTTAGACATATCTGTAAACATATTGTCTTCTCTTTGGTTTAACGTTGTTCCTTATTGTTTTTGAGGTTTTAATAATAAAAAGTTTCAAAACGAATTCTGTTTTCCCTGCTGTACCGAAATCGCAGTGAACCGTGAACCCTGAACCATGGTGTGGACAGTTGTGTACCTTTACAGCCCTACTAGTGAGCGCTGAGCTATGTCTCAGTCGATGGACCTATGGTCGCGTAATGGAGTCTCCGGCTTGGATTGGATCCTTGCAATTATTTAAAAGATTTTTTTTTAAATAATAATGTTTGTATATTACAAGTTACATCATATTATGTAATTTAATAGTTGAAGCCATAAAATATGCTTGTTATTTAAGGAAAACATGTATAACTCCTGCTGCTGTATAATAGCTTTCAAGCATTTCATTGGGAATTCAGTGGCTGTTTCTGGCTCTTCTTGTTGTCATGGTTTGTTGAAAAGCTGTTTGTTTATTTTAGATCCAGATACTCAACAAGAAGGTTGACTTGAGCAAAGTGACATCAAAATGTGGCTCCAAGGCTAATATGAAGCACAAACCAGGTAACCCGCCCTTATGACTGAGGCGTCATCGACTAGCCTGCTTTTTGTTGCCTATCAGTGATGTCTTTGCTCGTATATATTCCTATATAGTCACCCCTTCACATCTGTGAGGGTTAGGGGCAGAAGATCCCTGCAAACGTGAAACCTGGTAAATAATACTTGTGCAACTCTAACCTCAACCCATAGCAGGCTGCTGGCCTGAGCGATAAGATAAAAGTCTATTTATCACCATCAACAGTACTGTTGCATTACTTTGTCATTTCCTATGTAGACCTTTTTATATAATATCCAAACCATCTAAATTATGCCCCTGTATGTGCAGAATTAGTACTGTATGAACTGATTACTAAGATTGCAAAATTAACAGTACTAAAAAGTAACTGCGAGAAACGCAAGATCCCACGGTCACAAAGACAGCTAACCCGCGAATGAGACTGGTTGCCAAGACAACGATGCGCGGCCTACCCAAGCCAAGACTTTTTATAGTAAAGATACCATGTGCACTCACGCTAACAAATGCTAGGTATCACTAATATTTGCGTATTATAAGGTTTTATGTCATCCAAATACTTTTCTGTATTGTTTTTGGCTTAAGCCTTGTCGGCAAGTTTTTCAAACGCTTCAGCAAGCTCCAAGAATATTCCTGTTGAATTGTTCACAGCCGACTAGCGAATAACCAAAACCACCAATATCAAATGTGCAAAGTGAAGGGGTGACTATATAAAGTGTGTATGTGAGAGTCTTCCTGGGGGGGGGCACCTATTGGTGCTGTACAGTGGGACCCTCTAGCAGCATAATGTAATAACTACTGTTAATGCAATAACTACAGATAACATAATAATTTTTACATTATTAAAGTTATGTTATTGGTTCAGATAATGTGTTACATTAATAACGGAAAAATTAGTAATTATCATTTTATTACATTAACAGTAATCACATTATTGGCTGCTATAGACCCCCTTATCTGCAGATTACCGTGGCTTGGGGGAAAAAAAAGATAATCGGAAATAAATGGTTCCTAACCTTCAAACCGCACGGCCAGCGAGTACAGGCTGGAACATGGTGAAATCTGCCAGTCCAGTCGTGCCCAGAACATGACTCATCCATCTTTTGTCCCCAAACCCACACGTCCCCACGGAAACTCTCAACCAGGCTGCCTCCAGCGTTCTCGCTCATCGCATTCATAGTCTGCGTTATAGAAATGTATAAAAAGCATGAATTTCATTGTTCCATCATCCCTTGATACATGATATTTTTTCATTCTTCTATCCTCTCTTGAAAATTAGGCAAAAACGTCAGAATCGCTTTCATTTCAGAGAGATAGTATGATATAATAATGCACAATGTACTTGATTATGACTGTATATAATGCTGGTAATGTCTTACTTGCTGTAATTAATCAGTTTAACTTCACCATATGAATATGTGTGAAAATCGCGTCATACTGTATATTGGGTCCAAGGACGGTTCGCTGTTATTCGCGGCTTTGGCCATCCATGGTAGGTCTAGGAACATATCACGCCTGAGCATGGGGAGACTGCTGTACCTGTAATTTTTGCTGAATCTATGTCTCCTGTAGGAGGAGGAGATGTGAAGATTGAATCCCACAAGGTCAACGTCAAGGCTCAGTCCAAAGTGGGGTCTATGGATAACATGAATCATAATCCAGGGGGTGGCAATATCAAGGTGAGGCTTTTAGTCGTAAGCATCCATACCAGTGGGGTATATAAAACAGTCCTAAATGTTACATTACATTCATGGAGAACACAGGACAGGCTCCAAAAATATGCATTTTTTTTTCCACATAATTAACTTCTGGTGGAACATATTCACATCACAAGCGATTGCTCTAAGATTACAGGAGAAGCACGTATTCCCTATAAAATTGCCAAAAAGAATTGAGTTAGTCAGTGTATCAGTGCAAATTAAAAGTTTATTTGCCATTAGAAATGTAATTTGTCTTACTAATTGAATCACAGCACTGATCATTTCACGGGAGTTGCTTTTGACAGCATATACATTAATTTCCCCTTTGAACCCAGGATAATTACAGCCCATAGACGCTCATTGATGTCCACTGATGCAGTGCTTCACTGTAAATGTGTGGAAGAGCCGTGCTTCACTAGGAGTCTATGAGAGCATCATGCATGGTTTTGCATAGGCAACGTTTATTGGAGACCTGCCTGGAAGCCAGGCTTCTTTGCACAAGACACGATAAACTACCAGAAGCATTAATGCTGAGCTAGAGGCTAATACTAATACCAATACTAATACTAATACTAATACTGAGCTAGAGGCTAATACTAATACCAATACTAATACTAATACTGAGCTAGAGGCTAATACCAATACTAATACTCAGCTAGAGGCTCTGAATCACTGCAGACACTGCGGCTAATGCTGTTGACTTCTAAAGAAGTCCTTTGATGAAGGAGAGCAGAATTTACATATAAGCAGCAGACCTAAGCAAAGAAAACACAGCCTGTTTAGGTCACACTGCCAGCTGTCTGCACTGCGCTTCCTCCATTTTTAAAAATCACTATCTGCCGCTGAATCACACACAATGTATTCCATATGTGTGTATGTAAGTAGTCATGCATGTGTATATACAGTATAAAAAATAAGGATAATAAAGATTTACATATATAATACTTTAGAAAGTAGTTCCTTTAAACTTCAAAATGTTTTACTTAAGCAAACATTTGATGTGTGTGTGTGTCTGTGTGTGTGTGTGTGTTTCTTTCTGACTTTAATTTGCTCCTGCTGCTATGATTCTTAAAGACACAAACTCTTAGTCCTCAACAGTTTTGAAATGATCACCCATATGCTTTAGAATGGCATATTATAGCCATGTCTTGCACACTCTAGAAAACTGGATGTTGCACATTTTTTCCTAGTTATCTTTTGCTATTTGTTATTGTTTGAAATTGAGAAATATGCATACATTTGGGAAATATGTACTAGACGCAGGAATTATTGATAGGTAAGAACATGTACGAATGAAATTGCGATGACAGGTGTCCCGGGAACCCACAAGTAACGTCCTAATAAATCATATCTAGCAAACTGTAGTTTTTTCTTTACGCTGCCTAATTTTATCACTTTATTTACCCGAACTTTAGGATAATTATCCTAATACATTAAAAAGTTCTGGATTTCAACGCCCATAGTTTGCTCCTCGTCTTCCTCCTCCTCCTGCGTCCTCACCAAGGTCTGGATGGCAGGAGGCTCCATGCCTCTGTCCCCATGTGCCGACCTCCTGCTGTCCCCCCCTCCCCAGTCCCGCTGCCCCAGTCCCGCTGCCCTGCCTAGCCCAGTGTTCCAATTTCTTAGTCTTTGTTTTGTTTTTAATGCTTTTAATGTTTTTAATAACTCCTGTGCTGATGAGAGCTGCCCTCATCTCCAGCTGGTTTAACCCCATGGAGTCCCAGTGCTGTGGGGGGGTGTCCCCAATGATAATATTTGCCGACTAGGATATGAAGCGCTCTGTCTCTGGGTCAGGATTTGACCAAGAAGCATCAAGAACGTTACAAATGTCTTGGTTAGACATACTGCCCTCAAGAATTCCGTAGGACACAAAAGGAGGGTAGATATTGGATGGAGAGAATAAAGGTGGACAGAGCTGACCTGGCTGTTCTCACTCCTTGGCCTGATCTCTCCAGCTCATCCTGAGTCTGCAAGGGCTGACAGAGAATGAGCAGTCAGTCAGAGTTCAAGGGTGATGTCACTATACCCCTCAGCCTATGGAGATCCATCTTTCAAACAGCATTGTTGCCATATCCATGGTTGCATTACTCATCGTCTGTGGCAATGTTGGTCGCCCCCCCCCCCATCCCCATCAGACACTTATATACCCAGACAGTACATCACAAGAAGCCAAGTCTGAGAGTCCATGTAACAGTTGGTGTAAATACCAGCATTTACCTGGTCCAGATGCTTTTGCATGACATCATTATACAATGAGCCATTTCAACGAAACACGGTTAAAGTTTTTCACGCAGTGTGTGAAAGATTTCAGCCCTTAGCTAGATCGTACCAAGAATTCTAGAACAGACAAAAAAAAGTTCAAATGAGAATAACCACCCAAGCATAAAGTCTGGGTGCGCATGAGCCTAACTATCCTAGCTGTTCTCTTATGTGCAAAGATGCACAGCCCCACACCCATCTGCACAAAAGCATTTAGTTTCCTTTATTTTGGTTATGCATTTGCACAGCTGAGCTCTCACCTGCCATTAACGTGAAAAACCACATTGATGAAATCCGGAACCGCAGTGTGCTTGCTGTGGCATAGTGGCCCAGAGCACCGTATGAAGCCGCCAGGGTCTCGCATGGGAACCATAACCATCACTCCGACTGCATGTTCTCCCTTCCTGTAACTGAGACCTCCCTCTTGGTTGTCTGAACTGCCCCCTTCTGGCCATTAAAGGGGTTGCAGGGAGATATCACACAGCCAAACGAGATTTTTCCTAAGATCTGACCATTCTCCGCTGGCCTCTAAAACCATGCAGCTTATTTGGCCACAAATACAGATTCTCATTAAAGTAATTTTGAAGCACCTTTTTGTACAGTAGACGGGGTACAACTTGCCTGCAGTGAAAGTGTTACTGTTGAACTCTTGAGGATGCTACTTAAGCCAAAGTGCTTCATCAGATTTGTAGCCAAATAAAGCATCATATAAATTACAGTGGCACCAGTGCGGGGCCTCACAGCCACTGCCCATCGACATTTCGTGTTTTAACCATTGATTTCGCTCCACCTGGCCAGGCTAGAGGACACCTCTCTGCACTGCATCTCAGACCCTTGTCATGTCATTTTTGTTTGGTAGCGTCAGCCACACATTCCGGAGACTTGTGATTGCTCCTTCATCCCATGGCCATCCCCCCCTCCCCTACTGACACCCTACTGTCCCACTGTGTGTTTCTAGGCTGAGGGGATGCAGGAGACAACTGAGGGCAATGGGGCCCCCTGTATTGGGGGTGCAGCCCAGGAGAATGGCCTGCAGGAGGCTGTGTCTTGCGGGGGCGAGGGGCTTCGTGACCCCCAGGTCCTGGACACACGCATCCCTGAAACAAGTAAGTGTGCCCCCCCCCCATGGACCACCCTGCCCCCGCTCCCATCGGTCCTGCTCTCTCCCATCCCTTGAAGTGGGACTCCAGCTGAGCTAAACTGTGTCCCCGAGGTTTGCTTTTTGGGGGGGGGGGGTCAGTCGCTACACCTGGCTGACAATTTTGGGCAGGAAGAGGGAGCAGTTCCTAACTGTCCATAGCAGGGGCTACAGTGTGACCCCCTACCCAGGGCGGGGTGCAGTGCCTTTTATTTTTCCTTTGAAGCATTGCGTAAAATTTTCCCTAAAAAATGTTCTAGGCAAATTTGGAGATTTTTTTTTTTTAAAGCCGTGGAAGCAGGAGGACTGTGGCGTTTTTTCTGTAGGTGAGAAACATTATGGTTTCCTATGGAGCTTCTGTCACTCACTCGATGCACTGGAAGGAAGACGCCGGTCCGGAGCGAGATGCTAATGGGTTTTTATGTTTTATTAGCGTCGTTAAATCCAAACCCGCGATCTGTCCATCTGCTCAAACTTTCATTGTGTGTGTCCTGATTATTTCTAGTGGCATATCTGTTCTCCTTCAATTACTTTCTGTGACATTAGGAAAATGCAGAACTGAAACTCCAACCTAATGCTCCAGCTAAGTTTTATTTTAGTGATCTTGTTACATAATAGCTTAAACTAAGTATAGTTAAAACTCTTCACGAATCCTCATGCAAATATGGTCTGTTTTTAAGGCACGGTAGGAATAGCTAGAAAATATATCTTTACTGAGAGGTAAGACGGCAGCTGTTACTTTGCATTTAGGTTTTATTTCACCGGGTGTTACTCTGCAACTACTTCAACAAAGTAGCAGGTGATCAAATGTAGATATATATATATTTGGTAATATATTTGTAAATAGTACTTTCTATCCTGAATGAATGGTAACCTGTTTTTATTTTACTGGAGACTGGCCAGGTTCACAAAGCAGTAGTTTAAGGATATTATTCTAGGTGTTTGAAAGTATATGTGGGATGATTGCATTCCTGGGGCCGCATCGCACTCACTGTCGAGTCATTCCTGCGTCCTGCCGAGTTTGTGTTCATAGGTGCGCTCTCTCCATCCCTCCTCCTCCTCCTCTTGCCTTTCCTTGCTGCAGATTGAGTCTCACAAGCTGAACTTCCGTGAGAACGCCCGAGCTCGCACGGACCACGGCGCTGACATCATCACCCGACCGCACCCACCGCGCAGCATCTCTCTCACCGACTCCCTGTGGTCCGCCAGCATGCTCCGCTCCCCCCCGACCCCCTCCTTCATGTCCTTGATGGAGCAGGGGGGCGACGGTGTGCTGGCAGGGCTAACGACATGATTTTAGCTCCCCCCCCACCTCTTACCCCTCATCTCTCCCTTTCTTCTGTTCTTCCTCAGCTCTCGCCCCATCCCCTCATCTCCCCAGTCACCGTCGTACACAGAGCAGGTAGAGCTTTCAGCTTCCCAGCTTCCTTTGCCTCATGGGGACCTGCCTCACATACAGATTCAGTACAACTCAATATCACAAATCACCCCCCCCCCCCCCCAGCCACGCCCTTCTGCCCCTGCAAAGGGGCTATAGCGAGATGTTCCCCGGCCTCCCCCCGTTCCCAGCAGCAGTGCCGTCATTGTTAAAGTGTGGCTGCCACCAACATCGTCATTCATACAGTGTGACACCTCAGTCTTACCAAGTCATTGTCCCATTGCAATTCCAACGATGGCCACCAGGAGGCAGCCTCACCCTGTGTGTAACCCGTGGCAGGCAGCTTTTAGAGTGCACTATGAAAGCAATCAAAAAAACAAAGCAAGTCTTGTCATGAGCCTGTAGGAGTATTGTATGTAGCTAATGAAAGACAGCCTGCCCTTCCCTCCACATTCTCCCTTAGACCCCACACCTCACCTTCTCACTCCCAAACTTCAGAATGCATACAAGTATTAGAAACACGTAGGCTGTCCAAACAGTAGTCTATTTAAATCTCGTTAAAAATTCTGTGTTGTGTTTGCGTAACTGTGTATTTCGTTTGTGCCTTCTTTTCCCCCGGTTCTTCATTCTCGTCTTTATCGTTGTATTCTCTTTAAGCAATACGGTGGTCTTTGCTGATACGATACAAGAATGTGCACAAACACAAGTACATGTCACCTTTATGGTGGGAGTGATACGGATGGCCTGGGGTGGAGCAGGGCGAGCAGGTGGGGTGATTAGGAAGTTGTCCAGAAGGAACCGGGGCGGGTGGATTTATGGACAGTATGACATGCAGCACACTTTGCCGCTTGAGGTTGCGGATTATTCCCTTTGGTTGCTTAGCGATTTCTGTAGTTGGCAGTAGAAGAAAAGGGAAATTTTACATTAGTGTAAAAATAGAGATTCCACCATGAGGAGGAAGTGAGTTAGGGAAATTGGAGGGAAATGTGCAACTTTTGTATAACTAAAAACTTGGGGTGGGGGGGAGTCTCTCGAGTCTGAGAATAGAACACACAAATTGAATGGCAACAGTAAAAAGATTCATTTAATCCTGATGTATGTGTAACTCTTGTGTGCTTTAATACTGAACAGATTTGAATATCTTTTATGAATTTTAACAGTTTTTGTCTTGTAGCTTGTACTTATCACTTATAAAGTGAGTCAACTATACAGTTTTTATGATTGTAGGATTGGTGTGGCAATGATGTAGCTACGCAATGCTAGCACTACCAGTGACTTCAACCTGTAAGGTGGTCAAAGGCAACGGAATGGCGGCACTAGAACAAAGTTGTATGGTTTGTAAAAAGCAGATTGTTTAAAAAACAAAAAAGGATTTTTAATGTTATTTAAGTCTCTGGGGACTTCAGCAGGTGAATGCGGAGAGGGTTCTCGTCCTTTAAATGAGTTTTAGCAGCAGCCTGCTTCTATAAATGCGGCTGTACTTTCTGGTGCAGCAGGAGGCCTGTTGTATAAGTAGAGGCAGAGTCTTGTGCTGCCTTTTCAGTCATGAGTGTACAAGCAAGCGATGGCCCATTGGGTCAGCCAGCACTGATTGTATGCTGTGTCTGAGAACTCTCACATCCAAAGTGCACTACATACACACATTCACAGTGTCACGCTAATAATATATAGGGGTATAGTTTGCTTATAACTCTTTAGACTTTTAGCTAGAGGGAGACAGAGAGAGCAATGCAGAGGGATGTGAGGAATGCTACTTTGTGAATAAAGATGTGGTAGACCGTGGGTGTTTATCAATAACAAGAATGCAAAGATAGTACTTGTGGTCTTGAAAACCTGCTTCCCAAGAACAAACTTCAGACACAGTGAATCATGGGATCGTTCTCGTTCTGCGAGGATTCAGCCGATGTGTCCTCGATACTTGGGGCGAGGCAAGAACGACATCCGGGGATTATTACCATCCTCTGTACTTCTCTTCTTTGTATTGTAACTGGTCGTCGGCAATGGAAGACATAAGAAACGGGTGCGCAAGAACACAAGTACGGTCAAGTGCGCATATTGAGAGACACCCTCTGACACCAGATGCACTTTTCCTGTAATGGCGTTTGTTTCTGACAGTGGAGGGCTGTATTGTCCCTTGTGTTTTTAGTGCACGTGTCTAGTGCTGTGGTATCTGTTCACTAGCTAGTTTAGGCATGGACCCTGGGCTCATCACCATAACTATATTGAGTGAAACAGGAAAACTTGTTCCGATCCTCACTTAGTTCTTCCATGACCTAAGCTTGCAAAGTGTAAGGTGGAGCTAGGAGGCGGTAAGGTAGCGGGTGAAGATGGGGTTTGGGTTCAGGGGACTGGTCTGCTGCATAGAGTGATGGTGTGGGTATCTGCTAATGGCAGGCGCTTGTGGACAAGCAAATGAGTAGAAATGATTAGAAATGTCTTCTAGTCTTGTTTGATTATCAGTATAGGCACTGTTGTGCTGTCATACGGAGAATAAGAAAAATGGTTTATAAACGATTTGGAGTGTATAGGGTAATGATTGGGGGAAAAAATACAGTTTTAAACCCTTCAAAGGTGGATGGCAATCATATTGGTCCTTGACTGTTGGATGATGGCAGTGTAAGTCGCGTTCCTGCACCGGTACTTTCTCTCTAAGCTGTTTGCGAGCTTAATTCTGCGTGGGTGACGATCTGCTTGCCGTGACGGTGACCCCTGTGACCTTTAGACAGCGCCTGCACTCGACTGCTGGTAGTTCCTCTCCTTCCCTTGTCCTTGCCATACCTCGCCTCTTCTCTCAAAGCTGATGGTGTGCGTGCGTCATTTCGTATTACATATGCTGGTTCGCCACAGGGTCATGTGGTTTATATGGATGTTTTAACTCAACATTAAGCTTTTTTTTTTTTTTCCTTTTCTGAAGGTTTGCCTTTTTTAAAAAAGGAGCTGAAGTAAAAGAACATTTTTAAAACATTATGTATTTAAGAAATAAAAAATATATATAAGTGTGCATTATTTCATTCCACTTAACCACTACAGTGTAGGTGTTGGGTGAGGAACACTGGAGGGGTTGTTTGTGGTGTGTCTTAACAATAAGTCTTTGAATCAGAAATCCAGCCGGGTACAGCTTTTGTACCTAAGAAAAACCTTTTCAACAACTGTAGTTCCTGAGTCGAATGGTGTATTCGTGAAGTCAGGCTGCTATATTTAACGATTTCTACAGTTGGCAAATGCCCATGTGCCATCTCCTTGATGCTCTAAAACAGGCGTGGCCAATCTTATCCGCAAAGGGCCGCTGTGTATGCGGCTTTTCACTGCAACTCCCTAGTTAGGTTACTAATTAGAGGACTGATTGGCTGAAGAGTCCTCATACCTGGGTTTGAACAGCTGTTACCCCAAAAACCTGCATACGCACCAGCCCTTTGCGGATAAGACTGGCCATCCCTGCTCTAAAGCATTGCTAGGATTTTTTCTTTAATTACTGAAATTGTATATGCTTTAAGATGTTTATTAAGTTAAATAATTTTGACAAGTGCACTAGTGAAACAAGCTGAAATAGAGATCAGAAGTTGTCTTTGGTCTGTACTGATGGCCCCTCCAGTGCAACCTGCCAACACATAAACACACACACACACACACCACTGTAGAGTGTGCAGGAGATGTCAGATCCCCACCACACTTCTGTGTGAGATTTCAGAGGTGGTCTGCACCATTCAGAGTCTGATTCAGCAGTGAGGATCCCCTCTGCTGTAATGGCACACTGGATATGCGCTCACACTAATGGGAAACACCAGAACACAATGGATCCTATCAGACAGACATTTGTCATTTTTACAAATATTTTTCTTTTTTTTTTTAATATTTTCTGGTTTGGAGGAGATGGTTATTGTGGTTAATTGTTAATTAGTGATGTGATTATTAATTATAAAATAAACATGTTACAAAATATATTTGGATATGTGTGTTGTTCTTTGTTTTGGTAAATATTTCAAAGTTATTTCCCTGATGCTGTAGTTATCAGATTTTACTGATTAATGCAATATCATATTGATTTTTTAATGTTTTTTTTCTTTTAATATATTCATCTTTATTAATGATAACATCACTTGTGCCAGTATTCAACAGACATAAAATGTATCCATAGGTATCCAAGGGTGATAATGGAGAGAGCACATTTAATACAGATGTAAGGGATAGGGGATTTATTTCCCCAGAAACAGGTTGACAGTAGCCGTAGCTCAGACAAACCTTTCAAGGGATAAACCAGAGTGCAGAAAAAAATGATCAAAAGCATATATTAGCTAGAGGGCAACCAAAAAGGTAACGAAATTGATATAACCTCTGGATCAAAAACCACAGATCGAGCTGCAACAGTGTCGCCACATTTCTTAGCCTATGGAACACTCTCAGCCAAGCCAAGTGTTGGCCAAATTACTGAAAATTAGCAGTTACAGTTAGGACTTACTTTATTTAAAAGCAATTCAATTACCAATTACTGCAAATTAAAGTCATTATTTACTAGGAAGAGTAACTTTTGCGCTATTTCAATTCTCTAAATGTATACATTAGAGGTGTACTGATCTAAGCATCCGATAATGAGGTGACTATCTGGAAGTCTTTTGTGTTATTAACAACGGTTAGTAGCACAGGGATTTGCAATCTTTGTAAAAACATAGTTTTGAGAGGTGGAAGTAGCATTTAGTGGAAAATCCAACTAAAGCAGGAGTGGGCAATCTTATATGCGGGTGTATATGCAGGTTTGCGCTGCAACTCCCTAATTAGGTCACTAATTAGAGGACTGATTGGCTGAAGAGTCCTCACACCTGGGTTTGATCAGCTGACCTAATGGTTATCCCAAAAACCTGAATACACACCGGCCCTTTGCGGATAAGATTGGACACCCCTGCACTAAACAAAGCACACGAAATTGCGCAATAATATGAAAAAATTAAGCAATGGATGATTTCTATTATAGGCATACTTTTTTTTCATTTGTATTTAATATTTTAAAAAATAGTAATACTATATAAAGTATAAACATACACATATATACATATATATATATATATATATATATATATATATATATATATTACTGTATTAAAAAGAGTTCTTGTATTGAAATCTATATTGAGATCGGAAATGAAAAAAATGTACATCAGCTTATTCGTAGTATCCATACCCAGACAACACACATTTTAGATCAGAACATCATTAAATGAGCGACTTCCATTAAGGCCTATTAACAATATTTAAATTATTACATAAGCTAAATGTGCATTTCAGCGAGCACATTATTTTCAGTAATTTTGCTTTAATCACTTCAGTATAACTGTTAGGCCAATTGTTACTGGTTATGTTGTCAATATTTTAAATAGTAAACGTGTCATTTGTAATTAGTTCAGTTTGATACGTATATGGTTTTAAACAGTATATCTGTTTGCAGGGTAAACGGAACAAATCAGTCCTATTGCATATAAATAAACTGTTATAACGGAATAACGAAGGAGAAATGACCCATGTAGCACCGATCAACAAAGAGGTTCTATTAAACAATACAGAACACAAAGGAAGAACCGGAAAACAAAGGGGCCACGAGGGGTCGAGTAGGCAAGAACAAGAACTAAAATATAACTAACCACAGAGTAAACTGACACTAAAAATACAATTAAGAAAACAATAAGACCTGTGCTGACCAAGCAAAGAGCAGAACACTAAACATGCAGGAACAACCACAATGAACAACTAAGGAACAGAACAAAGGCAGGCATTAAAATACACTAATTAGACGAGGGACAGGTGGGGGCAATCAATCAACAGATACAGAAACTGTCCAAACACCAAGGGAAACTGAAACAAAGGAAACTGAACATAGAGGCAATAGGGAGTAAAAAAAACAAGGAACCATGCAGTTCTGGCTCAGTTCCTTCTTTACCACAACAGAATGGTACAGCAACCTCATAACTGCCAACGCTGCACCGATCTGTCTATCGATCTGCTGTCTGGGTAAATATGTCATTTGAGTGTTGCTGCTATAATATGGAGATTGATTACTTAGGACATAAATCTTACTTAAATGTCACATTGACATTGTAATTTAATGAGAGACACAAAAATCTATATTCAGAGTTGCAAATTTGTGCTTTTTCACACAAGGCAAAACTAAGAAGCAGGGAGCCCATTTAAATTTCAGTACTTTTAATTGCGTTATTTAGTTTGAAAAGGTAGTTAGTTACATTACTCATTATCACCAAAAGTAGTGGAATTACAGCAATGCCTTACAAACTACCAACACTGGAGAAGACAAAGACAAACAGTGACTCTCAGACAATACTGACATATACTGTGGTATCCGGCACCATTAAACACACAAATTGCCTATTTTTAAATTAACTCAATGTTAAACATGCCTAAACTGACATTTAAACAATATATTTCATGCCAACAAAAACTAAATTGTTTGCACCTTCTTTTAGTTATAAGCAATAGCAAGGAGCTGTGGAGCCTCTTGTGATGGACCACAGAAACTAGGAACTGTGACACAAAACAAACAGATTCGTTGAAACTAGTGATGGCAAAAATAGGGCTTCTGAGAGACAAACAATTTGGGGGAAAAGAAGATCTTTTGGGACATTCGAAATATAACACTACATGGTGCCATCTGGTGGCCAAATTGCTTCATTGACACTGCAGCGGAGAAACAGAATGCATGCGGCATTAGTAAAGGAATATTAAATAAACACTGATTAAATGCACCCAAATTCTCAAGATTTCAGTGCTTACAGGACTTAAAAGATTTGCTCCTAACATCTTGAGGCCAGATACCACGTGACACTTCAGGGACTCCAAGAAAGTTAGAAACAAATCACTATTTTTAAATGGTATATTTTGGATCAGACAATTAGTTAATATCCGTGGTGTTTTATACAGACTTTAATAGGCATGATAATTTTATTGACACTAATCAATACCTAAGGAAATGTTGACTCTCTTTCAGTACTAGTTCAATAGAAAGTGTGGAAGAATCCTTAGCTTGTCTTAAAATAGAAGAATATTTTTATATTTTGAGGTATAAATGTAATAATGAGTTTTTAAGATTCTTATGGCTCATATCTGATTATATCTTTGCAGTTTATTACCTTTTATTGGAATTCCGTATTTAGAAAATGGTTTGAGTGGAAAATGATTTGGATAACTAATAAGTGTTTTTATAACTAATAAAACTAAGAGGTTACATACAAGATAAATTCTATAAATGTATCCAGTGAAGACCCTTGTTAAACATCGATTTAAAATCCATCTAGATGAAAATGATGAGGTTTGCAAAGCCGCCCTTAAACTACTCAGCATTTACTTGGGTTATTTTTAGGGTCGGTGCCTGAAGGTCTCTGTCCTCCATGTGCTGGTTTTGGCCAGCGTATGTTGCTGGTCATTCTGGTTCTCCCCCCTCCCTCTTGTAGACCTCAGCCCTTGTGTTTTTGTAGCTCGACAGGTTGAGCGTGTGGCTCAGAATCTGCACCCTCCACTTCTGGGTTTGAGGCTGGCTTGAGACCAGTTTCACATGTTCTGTCCTACTTAGGCTTTTTGTTTCCTAGTGTTCATTACTTGATGTACTTTGCTATTTTTAGCTTTTCCCCATTTCTGCTATGTTTTTTTTTATTTCTGTGTATTATGGTCCTAGTCCAGTGGTGGCCAATCTTATCCGCAAAGGGCCGCTGTGTATGCAGCTTTTTGCTGCAACGCCCTAATTAGGTTACTAATTAGAGGACTGATTGGCTGAAGAGTCCTCACACCTGGGGTTGAACAGCTGACCTAAAGGTTATCCCGAAGACCTGCATACACACTGGTACTTTGCAGGTAAGATTTGCCACCCCCTGTCCTAGTCCCTCTGGTGTTACTCTAGTGTTTGCTATGTATTCTTAGTCTTTAGTGTTTGCTAGGTCCCACAGTACTGTGTTCATTTAGTGTTACTGCTTCCACCTGTTTCTCGTTGTTCCTGCACCTCTCTTGATTGATTAATTATTTATGAGTTCCACCTGTCCCTTGTTTTCCCTGGTTTCCTGTGTTTGTTACTGTGTGTTTGTCACCCTGCTCTATTGCCCAGTCCTGTTCCCTTTGTTCTGCGTAGTTCCGTAGTTCTGTATTTTAATGAATATTCAATACTGCCAACTGTGTCAGATATCGACATTAACAGACGTTTGCGGCTGCTATTTTTGATGCTGCCATCTATTACAGCGAGGTCAATTAACCACCTTCAGAAAAGAGCTTAACTACAGGTGCATCTCAAAAAAATTATCATGAAAAAGTTCAATATTTCTTTACATTCCTTTCAGAAAGTGAAATTCATATTCTATAGATTCATTACACATGGAGTGAAATATGTCAAGCCTTTATTTCTTGGAATTTCGATAATTATGGCTTACAGATAATAAAAACCCAAAATTCACTGTCTCAGGAAATTAGAATATCACATAAGATCAATTAAAAAAAGGATATTTGAAACAGAAATGTCAGGCTTCTGAACAGTATGTTAATTCCTATGCACTCAGTACTTGGTTGGGCCTCCTTTTGCATGAATTACAGCATGGAGGCGATCAGCCTGTGGCACTGCTGAGGTGTAATGGAAGCCCAGCTTGCTTTGATAGCAGCCTTCAGGTCATCTGCATTGTTGGGTCTGGTGTCTCTCGTCTTCCTCTGGACAATACCCCATAGATTCTCTATGAGGTTCAGGTCAGGTGAGTTTGCTGGCCAGTCGAGCACAGTAACACCATGGTCGTTGAACCAGCTTTTGGTACCTTTGGCACTGTGTGCAGGTGCCAAGCCCTGCTGGAAAATGAAATCAGCATCTCCATAAAGTTCATCAGCAGAAGGAAGCATGAAGTGCTCTAAGATTTCCTGGTAGATGGCTATGTTGACTGTGGACCTCAGAAAACAGTGTGAAATTTCACACTAGACTTCAAGCAACTTGTATTCTGTGTCTCTCCACTCTTCCTCCAGACGCTGGGACCTTGATTTCCAAATGATATGCAAATTTTACTTTCATCTGAAAAGAGGACTTTGGACCACTGAGCAACACTCCAGCACGTTTTCTCCTTAGCCCAGGTAAGATGGTCCTGACATTGTCCCTGGTTCAGGAATGGCTTGACACGAGGAATGCGACATTTGTAACCCGTGTCTTAGAATTCTTGAATGGATTTTGCTTGACAATCCTTCTCAAGGCTGCGGTTGTCCCTGTTGCTGGTGCACTTTTTCCTACCACATTTTTTCCTTCCACTCAACTTTCTATGAATATGCTTGGATACAGCACTCTGTGAACAACCAGCTTCTTGAGCAATGACCTTTTGTGGCTTACCCTCCTTGTGGAGGGTGTCAATGACTGTCCTCTGGGCATCTGTCAAGTCAGCAGTCTTCCCCATGATTGTGTAGCCTCCTGACCCAGACTGAGACCATTTAAGGGCTCAGGAAACCTTTGCAGGTGTTTTGAGTTAATTAGCTGATTAGGGTGTGACTTTCCAATATTGAACTTTTTCACAATATTCAATTTTTTTGTATATCTCATTTTCTGATGTAATGGTGTTTGTTTTTCCAAATAAAATAAAAACACTGTTTTTGATTAACTGTCTGTAGTGTTTTTTTTCAAAGACAAATAATGAGGATACACAAAGCATGACTGCAATTCTGATTTATGTAATAAAATTCATCCAAAAATTGAAACATTCCTCTGTAGCCAACTACACTATATGGACAAAAGTATTGGGACACACCTCTCAATGAGTCCAGGTGTTTCTTTCAGACCCATTGCCAAAGGTGTATAAAATCAAGCACCCAGCCATGCAGTCAGGTTTACAAACATTTGTGAAGACCTCAGTGAATTCAAGCGTGGTGCTGTCATAGGATGCCACCTTTGCAATAAGTTGCATTGTGAAATT